AAAAATCAATCGGCACGCTTTACTGTGCAACTGTATCGCGATATTTTTACCCGGTTAAAATACCATTCACTGAATTTTCTGAAACTTGCCTAACCACTCAATTTTTCGTTCTGAATCCATTTTCAGGGTTATTTTTTTATCATTCGAGACCTTCTACTCAATTTTTATCTTCCTAGGGTTGCGTGTTGGCTAATTACTGTTTTGCCCTTTCTTTGTATTTAGGCCTAATTTTCAGGATTTTCACTAAGTCTTCCCTTTAATTCTCATTTAATATATTAATTTATGATTTAGAAATGTAAAAATGGTGATCAAAGCTTGGTCCTTTCTCTATCACAATGGCATCTTGAAGCTTCAAATGTCAAGAAAAGGCTCACACCACAACACTCAAGAAGTCAGCCCCTAAACCACCACTAAACAGAGACCAAAACTCAGAAAACAAAGGTCTTTCTCTCACTCAAGTCTCTCTCACACACAACCATGGTGTTTTGATGAAGAAAGGTAGTCACTTTAGAGGTTTCAAGGGAGATGAGACCATGAAATGGTGAAGAAGAAGAATGGTAGCAGCTGAGTATCAGCAACTCACGTAGGAGACACTAGAAAATTAACCTAGGTCTTTGTGCCAAGTCTATAAATAGTCTCATTAAGTTATAAGCGTCGGTATTAGCACTAATAGCTACGCTAATCATTTTAATCCCAAACTTTGGATTCTGAACCTAGCCATTTTTCTAGGATTTATCATATTTTTATTATAATTTTTGCAGTACTTTGCCGGTACACGCTTTTACGTAGCCGGTATTAGTCCTGACGTCAGTTCTCATTATTTCGACTCAAACTTTAAATTCCAGTTCTAAATATTATTCTAGGAATATATACATACTCTTTATAATTTTTCGGGATACTTCATCGGTACGCACTTATACCGTGGAGCAGAACCGACATCTGCACTCTTCGTCAGAAAAACGACTTTCAACATTATTAATCACTTACGATAATTATTTAAGCTTTCTCATAATTATTTAGGGTCAATTATGAAATTTATCCCTTAACTCATAATTAAATTAATTAAATTCCTAATTTAACGGTGCGGGTTCTTACAGTGGACAATTAAGGTTAATGTGAAAGATGTTATTGAAAGTGTGTATACAATGATTTAAGTGGTGATTGGTGGTTAAGGAATCTTTAAAGAACGATTAAAAATCATGAAAAATGGTAATTGGGGTTACACACAACTCGGCCATTAAGTGGTTCCAAGGATGTTGGAAGCTTTGGTAAGCTATTGAATTGAAGACTACTTGAATTGAATGATTTAATGAACAAAGAATAAAGAATGAAAAGCTTTAAATCATGATGGTATTACTGGGATCACCATTCAACCATCAAAAGAATAATAGCCTTAAAGGTTGTTTAAATTCAAGTGGAGTTATTGAAAGAATATATTTGTCACCTAGTTTAATTGATAAATCAATATCTATGTGTAAGTTGTTAAATTATAAATGACACTCATTCAACATCTATGTTTAAGCTCTTGGTTTAAGAAGTTTTTTAGCTCATTGTTCTATTAGTTACCGGATGATGGTTATATTTGTATTAATAATGTGGTTGGGCACTAGAATAGTGGTATGCATATGGTAAAAATGTGTAGTATGATGTATGTTATTTTTGTAATTAAATGATAAGTTGACATGGATATGTCTCATGAAACAAGAAATAAGTAATAGGTATGCTAATTTGTGAAGTAAAGAGTATACCTAATAATTTTAAAATGTGTTGCTAAGTCTGATGTTCTGTTGGTTTAATAAGTTTGGTAAATCTAATACGTGAGGTACATACATTTGATATTCTGATAATTTGATGTTGATGTGTTGTTGATTTCAGAATTAATCATTGATGTTTTGTGAAGTAAAAATATTGAAATATGTGCATACTTTATTTTTTTTATATAAATATATATATATATAGTATACAGGTAGATTCCAGTATGAGGCCAATAAGTAATCTGGTCGTACAAGTAGAGTGCATTCAAATAATGTATGGCTCTAGTGGAATAAATTATTAGTTACCATGAATACATTCGATCTTTGGGTGGTTTTGGATACTCTGTATGTAAATTATAGTTTGCATCTTAAAGAAATGGATGTGTATTGGTTGCATTAGTATATGTCTGGTATACTACTAGCTTGTGCATGGGTTATGGAAAATGCTATGTATAGGTTTGGGCTATGCTATGGAAGAAGTTATGTCCAAAAATGTTTGGATATAAATATATTGTGTATTGGTTATTTCTGAATTACAGTTGATAAGGTTGTTCAATTTGTCCAATATACAGGGGTTATGTTGTCTGTGTTTCTTAAATTAATGGTTTAAAGGATTTGAAGTGAAGTTTGAATTTTGTACAAGTATAGGATTGTATGGTTAATGTTTTACAAATTTTGAGTAGTAAAGGAATATAAGAAAAGTTTTAATTAGTCACGTGGTTTCAAGATAACTGTGTGATATTTACAGGAAGTCTTGACAACAGAAAATCTATTATAAGTATATTGATGCCACTATGTACCATTAAGGGTGTAATATCTCGTGTGTAGAAACAGGTGTTACATTTCCAATCGTGACTATTCCAGATGCTTCTCTATGGATGGTAGCGATGCAAGAAGAAATAGAAACCTTACAAATTAAAGGGACATAAGAACTTATTGCTCTTCCAGAAGATCAAAAAGCCATTGGTAACAAATGGGTCTATAAGATCAAAAGAGAAGACAGTGACGAGGTGAAACAATATCGTTCAAGACTAGTGGTTAAAAGATATGCTCAAAAGGAATATATTGATTTCAATGAGATATTATGTCCAGTTGTCAGACTTACCACTATCAGAGTAGTTCTCGCTATGTGTGCTGCATTTAGTTTACATCTTGAGCAGGTAGATGTAAAAACTGCTTTTCTTCATGGAGAACTTGAAGAAGAGATATGCATGCTCCAACTAGAAGGATTTGAAGAACAAAGAAACGAAACTTTGGTTTGCAGGTTAAAAATTCTTTGTATGCTCTAAAACATACGCCAAGATGCTTGTACAAGAGATTTGATTCCTTCATAGTTTGCCTCAAATACAATTGACTTAGTTCATATCATTGTACATATTACAAGATGTTTGGTGATAATAATTACATCATTAGGATATTGTACGTAGATGATGTGTTGGTGGTAAGTCCCAGCAAAGATCGGATCCAAAAAATAAAAGGATAATTGGCTAGGGAATTCGATATAAAGGACTTAGGACCAGCAAACAAGTTTTTAGGGATGCAAATTCGCCGAGACATAAAATATAGGAACATTTGGCTTTCACAAAATAATTATCTGAAGAAAATCTTACGATGCTTCAACATGGAAGATCATAAGCCAATTTCTATCTCACTTCCTATCAATTCTAAATTATCATCAAGTTTTAGTACTAGTAATGAAGAGAAGGTCATAAAAATGTCTCGACTGCCATATGTATTACTGGTGGGAAGCCTTATGTATGCAATGACTTGTACAAGACTAGATATTGGTTTAGTAGTTGGTATGATCAGTTGTTTCATGGAGAATCCTGGTAAAAATAATTGGAATCGAAGATACATAAAAGGAACCTCACATACTGCATTATGTTATGAAGGATCAAAGTTTATTGTTAGAGGATATCTTGTCCAGACTTTGCAGATGATCTTGACAAAAGAAAATCTATTATTGACCATGTGTTTACACTTGCAAAAGGAACTGTAAGTTGGTTATCCAAATTACAGACTCTGGTAGCTCTATCTACTAGGCTACTATAGAAGCCGAATATATGGCAGTTACTCAAGCATGCAAGGAAGTAATTTGGATTCAAAGGTTAATAGAAGCACTCGGGCACAAACAATAGTTAGTTACTATGTATTGTGACAGCCGAATTGTTTTGCACATTGCAAGGAATCCAGACTTTCATTCAAGGAAGAAACACATAGGAGTACAATACCATTTTATCTAAGAAGTAATAGAGGAAGGGAGTGTGGAAATGCAAAAGATTCACACCAAAGAAAACCTAGTAGATGTCGTGACAAAATCAATCAATGCTGACAAGTTCATATAGTGTCGATCCTCTTCTGGTCTATCAGAAACATAAGCAGTATGGAACTGGCAAGAGAAGAAAGATTTTGAGAGCTCACAAAAAATGACTTTAAGTAGGAGATTGATAGAAAGTTAAAGCCATTTTTGGCGGCTTTTGTTTTCTTATGAACCAAACTTTCTACTGTTCTTTCAATTTGCACATGTTACTGTGCAAAATGTGGAGGATATGCAAAATTACACAAGGTGCAAGATGAAAACACAGATAAAAAATGAAAAGAATTTGCCTATAAATAGCAACCATTTTTCATTGATTTAAGTATCCCAAAATTTCAATTTAGAGAAAAAACTCAAGTGTTTCTTGAGTGTTATTTTGAGTGAAGTGTATTCTCCTAATATAAGAGAGAGTTATGTAGTTCTCTCTTTGAATTTAGAGAGGTTGTAGTTTCTTCCACTTGATGAAAATCTTCTTTGACCTTGCCCATGATTTTTCCCAATTGGATTTTCCATGTAAATCTTGGGTGTCACATTAATTGGCATACTTGTTGATCTCCTAACTGCTGGAATCAAGATAAAGGTAATTACACCATTGGCGTTTACGAAAGTAGTTAAAAGACATAGCCTTAAATTTAATGGTTATTTACATATCACCATTGTGTAGCATAATCACACTAGGTTTCACTTATGTGGCCAATTGCTGTGGTTAATAGTGTTTTGTAATTTATGTTTCCCTCAACTCTATTTTAGTTGTATGATATTCTATTATGTAACATATATTCAGATAAAAATAATGATATAGGCAACCAATGTGGCTTTCTTCTTGTTATTGTCATTGCACAAGTTATATGATGAGCTTTTGCATATGAATTAATATTTTTTTAAAAAAAAAAACCCTGTTATTCCATCTTTTTCCTCCTACTAAAAATATGGAGCACCGAAAACGTCTAGAGAGCAAAAAGCGATTTAGAAAGCAGAGTTCTATGGAAGTGTTCAGAGAGGTTAGACATGGGCCTCGTTTTGGCAATGAGTTTCTTGAGTCTTTCAATGATAGCAGAAGCAGGACAACTTGTCATCTTAAGTCTCCCAAGGTTCGTCATGTATTTGATTATTTTGTGGTCATAGACATTGAGGCTACCTGCTATAAGGACAAAATTCTCACCCTCAAGAGATAATTGAGTTTCCATCGGTCAAAGTGAGTAGTGTCACTGGCGAAATAGAATCATGTTTCCGGACATATATAAGGCCTACCCATAATCAAATTATGACTGATTTCTACAAGGACCTGACTAGTATACAACAAAATCAGGTGGACAATGGAGTTACATTGGAAGAGGCTCTACTCATGCATGATAAATGGCTTGAAATCAATAGGATAAAGAACTCCAACTTTGCTGTTGTCACGTGGTTTAATTGTGTAACACCCCATAGTACTCCGGTTGTTAACATTAGGATATTATAACGTACACAACGAATGTTTTATTGAATAATTAAAGAAGCGTCTTGTAAAAATACGAATAAACTTTTTCCAAAATATTTTCTGAAAACATTTCTAAAAACATTCACATAAGATATTGTGAAAGCGTAATTCTAAAACATACATCTACTAATTAATCCCATTAGCCAGTATTAGTGGCCATTGACTAACCGGAGATGACAACAAGTGTCATTCCTGCCAAAGTCTCACGAACAGCATAACGTCTGTTTTACGGATAACCGGGAGATAAGAATCTCACTCCATAATACAATCATGATAGACATAGTTTATAATAGACAGCTCACAAGTCCCACACGGACTGTGATCCCCTCAATGGGTCAATACATACATATTGGCTCCGTGCATATATTAATAATGTCTATGTGTCCTCATCACATGCATCTAACATAACTCATAATAAATACATCCATAATCCAGAAGCTCAAATAATAATAAATCCTGAGCATTATTACATACAACAATATGGTCTAAAAGTAATCTAGCTAGACATGCCAAAACACTATGCATGCCATATAGCAAAATAACAGCGTAACATAAACAACAACATCAATCCTCTAATCTGTAGCTGGGCCCTTGCCTTAGAATGCTCACAGCTACCATGGGTACCTGAAATAATGTCCCCCAAAAGAGGTGAGATAACAACATCTCAGTAAGCTCAAGGTTCTTAGAGGTTCCTCTAATCCCCTGATCCCACTTCCAGGTACCACATGCCTAGTGAGATATAAAGCATATATAACAAACATACAACATAAATATAGCATCATACTCCATCCTCTAGTTAACAATTTCAAGGGCTCTCCCCAAGAATAGCTAACTGACATGTCCCACATGCCTAGTGTGACTCCCACGGTCAAGCCATAGGCAGTAAACACAAGCTGTAGTATGAGATAACTCCTAGGGTCAAGCCATAGGCAGCCTACATACATATTCACTGGCCAGGAACCTCATAATATACATCATCAGTGCATCATCAAAACATCAAGAATCATATAATATCTATATGAATGTGAATGAATGCACATATACCACATATCACATACTTTCATACAATTCAACCATAACGTCCACCATCATGGTGGGGCCACAAGAGAGAGGAGCAACCAAAACTAGGAGTTTACCTCAAGGAGCTTAGCACAAGCCCATACTCCAATATAATACGTATGCTCCAAATCAATCCTCAAGTGCAAGGTTCTCTAGGCACACCTGAAGTAGGAACCATTCACATCATCAATTACATATTAATTAATCAAGTCATATTCAAGACTTAATCATTTAATGATTCCCCTTTTTATACTTCTATGCCAATAATATGCCTATTACAAGTCTAGACCATTTATTACTTAATTACATATTTTTTGTGCATTATGAAGTGTTCACTTGTTACACAATCAACCATATAGTTTAAGCACCATACATAATCTTAGAATTACACTCTAGGACCACTAAGGTAACTTAGATTAATTTCAACACTTCCAAGTCATCACATTCCTTCATTGCCAAATTATATCTTAGGTAAACCCTAGGTTAGATTTTCCATTTGCAAGTTGATTCAAACTTTGACCCCAAATTGAACCTTAATTCATCCTTCAACATAATTTTTCACCAAAAACCCTAATGATTCCCTACATGGCCGAACCTATAGGGTGTGAATCCTTATGATTTCCTTTTATTACATGGTCATCTGTCCATAACTAGTCTTAAACTTAGGTTGTCAACTAACTCCATAATTAGGTTTAATTAGTAAACCGTAATTATCTTTGATCAGAAACCCTAGGTTACTTTAATTTTAGGGTTTTTATATTATTAGGTCACTTATGCATTCACACATATCCACATTAGGTCTTAGTTCATTAAGTTCACTAATTACCTAGTTAGTGCTTCTAAACCCTAATTAGGTCCATTTTTAGGGTTTTATAATTAATTAGTCCATTATGCATGGTCCACCTCGCTTAAACCTTAGATTAGTATCCTAATTAGGTCTTGAACCAATTTGTAACATCCTAACCCTAATATGTCCTCACTTGGCCGAATAGTGTAAGGGTGAAAGCTAAGGTTTTTTACTTGTTAATTCCACCATTTCTTTAGCTATTGAAGTCCTATACTTAATTAGTCCACTAATCCATTATTCCATTAATTTTTAAACATAAAATCCTAATCATACTCCAAGGGGAATATTTCATTAAGTGGTATTATTAGGGTTCAAATCCATTCCTTAATCAAAATTAGTGTTCTTAAGATTAAATGTTGCATTTTTAACCTTTTCCTTGGTCCCACTTATGATTATCCACACTTTAGAACATCAATAACCAATTTTTATTAATTTAAAACATTGTCCCCATGATGAACACATGTTGGCCGAATTGTGCATGTGGGTAGGGGAGGATTTTGGTCACCATTTTCCCAAGTAACCATGCTTACTTCTTCAAGTTAGCTCCAATGCTTCAAGCTTTCACTTTCCTCGAACAAAGATACATCTTTTCCACAAAGAACATACACTAGAACTCAAGGGAATAAGCACCAAATGAGTGTTCTTCCAAGATAACTCAAAACACCATCACCATGGCTTGAATGTAAGAACCTGCACCGTTAATTAAGGAATTTAATTAAATAATTATGAGATTAATGAGATAATTTCATAATTGACCCTAATAATTATGAGAAGGCTTGAATAATTATAGAAAGTGGTTAATAAAGCGGAAAGTCGCTTTTTTGACGAAAAGTGCAGATACCGGTTCTGCTCCACGGTATAAGTGCGTACCGATGAAGTATCCCGAAAAATTATAATAAGTGCATGAATGTTCCTAGAATAATATATAGGACTGTGATTTCAAGTTTCAAGTTAAAATAATGAGAACTGGTGCCAGAACTGATATTGGCTATGTAAAAGCGCGTACCGGAAAGGTGCTGCGAAAAATAATATAAAAATATGATAAATCCTAGAAAAATGGCTAGGTTCAAAATCTAAAATTTGTGATTAAAATGCTAAGCGTAACTATTATTGTTAATACTGTGTGATTATTTTAAGTGAGCCTATAATAGGCTTGGCTCTAAACCCTAGGCCATAAATTTTGGCTGCTACGTGAGGGTCTTGTGTGCTGATTGCTTCAGCCATTTCCTCTCTTCTTTGTTACTTGGAGCTTGCACCATATCCAACCAAGGAACCACCTTTCTACCTTGTTTCTTCACCTAAACACCTTGTGTAAGTGAAGGATATCATTGGGGCTGAGTTGAGGACCTTGCTCTGAGTTTTTGGCCACTGGTTTGGTGGAGTTTGGGGCTATTATTCTGAGTTTGGGAGAGTGGAGCTTTGTTCTCTTCATTTTGAGCTTCAAGGAGCCACCTTTGAGTGTAAAGGTCCAACCTTGTAGTGCATTTTCGTGGGCATTTGTTTTCAGAACCTTGGTGTGTAGTTGGAGACCTCTTTGCTGTCTCATTTTCGGAGTTGTGAGCCTTAGAGGTATACCATGATTATAGCTTTGTGTTTTTTATGTTTTAAGCTTGTTCAATCGGTTAAAAAGTAAAACTTGGATCATTTAAGTAAAGGAATGTGTTTCTGAGTTCATAACATGATAATGAATATCTGTTTAGGGAGTTTTTGCACTCTCAATCGCTTTTGAATGCTTTAAATTGGACTTATGCAGAAGAATGCTCGAGTTTCTGCATTATGTCTGATAAGTATTCGAATACTTTTCGTGTAGTATTCGAATATTTATCCCTTGGTAGTCGAATACTCCTTGCAGGAGTATTGGAATACTTTTCTGGGAAGAAAAGTATTCGGATACCTTTGAAGAAGTATTCGAATACTGGATAGTATTCGAATACAGTGGGTTTTAGTATTCGGATACTGTGGTATTCAGATACTGAAGGGGAGAGTATTCAGATACTTTGTGGTATTCGAATACTTAAGTGAAAGTAATCGAATACTTTCTGGAGAGCTGAAGTATTCGAATAGTGTTCGTGGAGTATTCGAATACCTCCTGCATAAACAGCATGAAATAAGTTAAAATGAGTAAGAAAGCCTTAATCACTTAATGTAATCTTGAGCAAAGATTATTGATGATTAATTATTGAATAAACAGATTGTGATTGTGCTGTTTGTGGGCCTTGAGCTTGTGTGAACTCTTGGCTTGGATAGTTAGCTTGCAAGGTAAGCTTTCGTGTCCTCGGTTTAGCCATTGTTGGTTCTACCATGTCCCATAGAGGGATGGTTATATGCATGATGTGTTTTCATGCTTTGATAATTGAAATGCTATTGAGCTGTTAAGTGCAAATGCCTATGATATGTATGTGGTGTTCGCCTAGATGGGATGTGATCCTGTGGGCAGGTACGACATGGGCGCGTACTGTGTGGGTAATAGACGTATTCTTGCATTTCTCTGGCCAATAGATTATTTATAACACACATGACATGATTATCTGCTGCATTGCACTACTCTTGGAACTAATATTGTATATTGCTTTTAGAACTTATATTGCACATGTAAGTGAGCTTGGGGTGGAAGGTCCTTGAGGATCCCTTGCCTTACTGAGATTTCTGTTTAGAGATCTCACCCCACGTTTGGGGCGCTTATTTCAGGTAACTTGGGGGCTGATGCCTCTGGTGGCAGGAGGCCGGAGCTTAGTTGATTATATATGTTATATGCTGACATGACTGGATATTGGATGTTGTTTATGATTATTGTCCTTTTAGGATTATTGAGTTGAGACTCTTATTGGGCTTTGTTGCCTTATTTGGTGAGCATGGGGGTTGTCCATGCCACGTTGACTTTACCTTGTTGTTTTAGATTCGCTTTGTATAATGTATCAGGATATTGTCCGATCTACGTGTTGTATGTAAGAACCCGCACCGTTAATTAAGGAAGTTAATTAATTAATTATGTGAAATTAGGAAATAATTCCCTAATTGACCCTAATAATTATTATGAGGCTTAAATAATTATAGTAAGTGGGTAATAATGCTGAAAGTCGCTTTTCTGACGAAAAGTGCAGATACCGGTTCTGCTACTCGGTATAAATGCGTACCGATGAAGTATCCCAAAAAATTATAATAAGTGCATGAAGATTCCTAGAATATTATGTAGGACTTGTAAAACAAGTTTCAAGTCAAAATAATGAGAACTGATGCCAGAACTGATACTGGCTATGGAAAAGCGCGTATCGGAAAGGTGCTGGGAAAAATAAAATAAAAATATGAAAAATCTTAGAAAAATAATTAGGTTCAGATTCCAAAGTTTGGGATTAAAATACTAAGCGTAGCTATTAATGCTAATACTGTGTGATTAGGGCTTAAATGGACTATAAATATGCATGTTTGACCCAAAACCCTAGGCATCTCAGTTTCTACACGTAGAGGAGAGGCTGACCATCTTCTCTTGGCACTGTTCCATTGCTCCCTCATCCATTTGTGAGCATTGTGACCTCTTTTGCTTCATTTCTCTTCACCAAACACCTTGTGTAAGTGAGAGGGATCATTGGGAGTGTGCAAAGAGCAACATTTCTGAGTGTGGGGACTGTGTGAAGTCAATTTAGAGGGCTGAGTTCCTTTACTTGGGTGGTGGAAGCCATGGTCACGGCATTTTGAGGTCCAAGAAACCATCTTTGTAGAGAAAGAACCCTCATTGGTGTAGCATTTTCGTGTCCTTGTGTGTGCTGGACTTGGGAGTTGTATTGTGAGCTCCAAGAGCACCTTGGGTTGCTGTTTTAAGCCTTGGGGTAAGTTGTGAACCTTGATCATGAGTTTTAGTTGATTTAAAGGTTGAGTCTTAGCATGTTAATGTGTTAAATGGTTTAACCAACCTGAACATGAACCTAAAAATGTATAAATATGCATGCTTTAACATTGGAATGGGTTAAAAACCCAACCTTTGGAGTGATATCTCACGAAATGCAGAAACTGCATTTTTTCGTGAAATATCCAGATATGGTATCCGGATATGATATCCGGATATTGGTATCCGAATATGGGGCCTTCTGATATCCGAATGTGGATATCCGGATATGCATATCCGGATATGATATCCGGATATGTCCCCGACAAATATCCAGATATTCTGAATTTTCGTGAATAGTGAAGGTACTATTCATACAGAACTGAATTATGGGTTTGTGGACCCTATGTTGATGAAGTTGAACTTCTGTAATAATTAGTGTAAGTCAGAATCAAGGGATTAAGGACTTGTGGCTTTGTGAGAAGCCTAAAGACGTAAAACGTTAAGGAAATGCGATGTCTTTAAATCGTATGCTTGTTGTTCCTGAATATTGATAATATTGTTGGTCCAAACAGATTGTGATCTTGCTGTCTGTGGACTCTGAGCTATTGTGGACTCTTGGCATTGGATAGTAAGCTTGCAAGGTAAGCTTTTGTGTTCTCGGTTTAGCCACTGTTGGTTACACCATGTCCCATGGGGGGATGATTTATATGCATGATGTGTTTTCATGTACTGTTTTATTGAAATTCTATTGAGCTGTTAAGTGCAAATGCTTTATGATATGTATGTCGTGTGATGCCTAAACAGGAGGCCATGAGGTGGTCCTGTGGGCGGGTACAGTATGGGCTGATATTGGGTGGGTAATAGACGTATTCCTGCACTTCTCTGATCAGTAGAATAGTATAAACACACATGACATGATTATCTGCTGCATTGCACTGTTTTAGAACTTATACTGTTAAACTGCCTTTGGAACTTATATTGCACATGTAAGTGAGTTTGGGGTGGAAGATCCTTGAGGACCCCTTGCCTTACTGAAATTTCTGTTTAGAGATCTCACCCCACGTTTGGGGCAGATATTTCAGGTTCAGGTAATGTGGGGGCTAAGACCTCTAGCGGCAGGAGGCCGGAGCTTAGTTGATTGTTATATGTTGTATGCTGACATGACTGGATATTGGATGTTGTTTATGTTTACTGTACTCTTCATGTTTTATCAGTTGAGACCATGTGGGCTGTGTTGCCTTATTTGAGTGAGCATGGGGATTGTCCATGCCACATTGACTTGACTTTATGCTTTTAGTTTCGTGTTGTAATTAATAATGTATCAGAATATTGTCCGGACTACGTGTTGTAGTTCCGTGGCTTAGATACTCACATTTATATATCTAAAGAGGTATTTCAGTTAGATGTCTTTTGCAATTTACACACAGGCGATGTTTTTATGAAAATGCTTAAGTAATCAATTTGACTAAGTATAATAACGTCATAATTGAAAAGAAAAAAATATTCTGCATCTTTAAATTAAGCGTGGCTTAATACGATGACATGTTAACAAACCGGGTTAACACGGGGTGTTACATTGTAGATCCGTGACTTAGATACTTACTTATTTATATTATGAGGTTATTCAGTTAGATTGCTGTTTATTTGCAATTACATACAGACAATGTTTTGAAAGAGAACTAAGTAAGCAACTTGGTTAATATTAATGACGTCATAATTGAAAAGAAAAAGTTACTCCGCAATTTTAATTAAGCGTAGCTTAATTCGATGACATGAGAACAAATCGAGTATACACGGGGTGTTACATTGAACATACTAAAAAATCGCTGCTGTATGGAGGGCTATTTACCACGAAAATTTGGTTTTCAAGAACAAAAATGGTATGTTCTTGAAGAGGAGGATGAGGGGAACAAGTTTTGTGAAGGGTGTTTGGTGATTTGATGGAGTTTTGGAGGTGGAAATCTAAAGAGAAGGAGAAGGAAATTTGAAATTTAAAATGTTAGAGAGAGAGAGAGAGAGAGAGAGAGAATGAGGCACAACAATGGCTGAATGGGAGGGTGTCCTAGTCATTCTAGGGTTTGGACCAAGTCACTTAAGTGACTTTCTGTCATTTAGTGACACCCAGTGTGATTTTTATCTGTACTGTTATCAATTTTCCACCCGAAAACTCCCAAGACTCTAACTTTAAGTAATTAATATTAATTTTGTCTAATTATCATGTTCATAACTTACAAATTTGATTAATAGATCCCAAATCCTTTTACTGCTGTTTAATTGCACTGTAGCCTTCATCGGTGTTCTTAACTGTACCCGGATTTCATAAACTTCTTAACTTTAACATTATTGGTCTAATTTTGACTTGTTAGGCATATATTGGTCTTTCTTTCCATTTTCTCATCTTTTTCCCGTTCCGGGATTCTACCGGCTGCTTCTACAGTAGTACAAAATACCCGGCAGAAGTGACTTTTCTAAAATACCCCAATATGGGTATCAAACTTCAGCAAATCATATACTAACCTTATCTATGATAATCATATCATCAAAATAGCTTACTAACTCAAATTTGCTAAATTGGAGCTATTCTACTGACTATTACTGCGTTAGCAGTCAAAAATACAGATGAAAATCCACCCGTGTAAAATACCATCAATATGGATATCAAACTTCTTATAATTTCATCCTCGTTCCATTTATGACCCTAAGGTCTTCATAATAATCCTCTACTTTTGAAATTATAAAATTAGGTTATTAGAAATTGCGATTATGAGGTAATGCTTGAATCTGAGTGCAAATTCAAGAAGATACCAAAGCCTGCTTATTTCAATAGGTGGATCAACTTAAGGGTTCCTTTCCATGAGGTGTTTGGTGATATGAGGTGCAACCTAAAGAAGGCTGTTGGGATAGCTAGATTGGAATGGGAGGGTCGTGCTCATTCTGGAATTGATGATGCCAAAAACACTGCTCGATTGCTGGCAATCTGGCATTGATCATGCACAAGGGTTATAAGTTTTCCATTACCAATTCCTTGTCGTGGAAGCAGTCTGAAGAACAAGCAAGAGTTTTTCCTGAATGCAACTATAAATTATTTCACTGTGGGGTTATGACATATACCTATATAGTTCTATTCAATAGGATATTTTGAAATATATTATAAAGATTATGTTATCTATTATGATTTTTCCTGTATAAATTTGGTGTACTCTGATATTGAAATAAAAAAATGGTACGAGTCCCATATTGGTTGCCTATACAATTAATGTGGGTTTGATAAGGCCTTGGACACTTCCACCATTTGAGTTAGCTTTTGGTGTGGTGACTTCAAGATTCGTAACAATAGGTGCTTTCTTTGAGAGTTGAGGCCATAGAAAGGCTACTGCTGGGTGCTTATATGTTCTTTTAAGGACGTTCCCTTTACTTAGTCCATCAAGAAAGAATGCATTCGTTCTCTTGATATCAACCCAATCGCGCAAGTACACACTTCAAGTAATAAATGAGATTATTAATGCCCAGATTATTTTTTCCGTGAGGATAGGACTCTAAATAGTACCTTAAACTATTTTTACAAAGAATTATTAAGAAGAGAAAAGATAGCATTTGAACTATTTTGTCATTCGTTCCCTACTACCTTCAAAATTTTCCCTCAAAGATAGTAGGTTTAGTTTGACTCCAAACAACTCCTTGCGTCGTTATATACCAAATCCTTCTTTATGTGAGAAGGAACGACAAAATTCATTAGAGTTTTGATTGTATGGTCACAGAAATTATGAAAGAGAATAACTACAAGATAACAATATTTAAGAGACAACAAGATGGTTGGTTGAAAATAGTTTTTAACAGAAGGAACGAATCCACTGTTCCATTCTTAAATAGCTATACTCTCAACTCAAGACTTAACCCATCTGAATTTGTTCAGATCTTTTCACTGCCAACTTTGATTCTTCAGCTCATGGACTTTAATGGCTCACAAGTTTCCATATTTCTATGGTTCCCTTGACTCCAACAGTTACTAAGTTCAAAACCTTCATTGAACGATGTGGTTTCTTATTCCTAAGGCAACCAGTAATGTTGCTTTCACAACACTACCTTCCTCCTGTGATTAAGTTGTCTGAAATTTCTTCCTTATGGAAGTTTCTCTCTCAGTCTGAATTCAATTTCCATTGATACACAAAGAATAAACCCACTTAAATCACAAAAATTCAAAAGCTTCAGTGCAAAAGTTTGAGTATAGTTCTTTAAGAATTTCACAGCTTTTCCGTTCCACAAATAACTTAGCCTATGGTTATAACTATAAACATATTCCAAACTGAAGTCTCATAGACCCAAGATTGAGTTCAGAGATAACGACTGGAAGATAAGAGAAATAACAACATATATTAATAAGAAACAAGTTTAGATTACAAGGAAATAAAATGGAGAAGTATGATTACTGCTCGTAAAGAGTCTCAAATGGAAGATATAGAATGAGGGAAGGGTTGTTGTCATTAACTATTTAAACTATACAACTGCAAAATAGAATCTGAAACTATCCTAAGTGATCTCTTCTTAAGGAATTCGATGCTTTCTTCGTATTGGAACGTCCTATTTATAGGAAAGAATAGTGGATGGCAAAACTTGTAATTCCACTTGAGTTGTTTCTCGACTGCATGAGGAGGCGGTGTGAACAGTGCTATTTTGTGAAGCAAGTTACTGGATGGGACACTTATTGTTGAGATTTTCCTTTTCTTCTAAATTTCCCATGCTTGTTTTTCCTCTCACCCAATGGTAACTCTTTATTCTATGTTGTACACGTTTCTTCCTGCTTGATTGTTGTACCTCTTTCTACTTTTTGGAAGCTTCTTTTCAACGTTTCCTGCAGAGTGGTCAGAGAGGGTGAGTTAGTGAAGCAGATGTATTAATGAATCAATCTGTTCCCCTTTTCTTGTATTCTCTACTGATTACATCATAATCCGTTCCCTTCTGGTGCTTTTGCTCCTAAGTTCTAGAAATGTGTTTTTGGGGCAAAAATTGGGCACCAGATGAAGGAACATATGCAATTTACCATAAAAAATGGGCTTAGATGAGAACGAATTTTCATCCTATCAGCTACCTATAGGATGAATTAAGGTGTCATACCTCTTAAATGGATGTTGTACTGAATACTGATAGGTGAGTGCAGCCACTAAAAGGGAAAGAGCTACCATCGGGTCAGTGTCGATAGAGTGAAAGCCGCCATCGACGTCGGTCCTTAAAAAGGGTGACAATGTTACGAGTCCCACATTGGTTGCCCATCGTGACTAATCCAGATGCTTATCTGTGGATGGCAACAATTCAAGAAGAAATAAAAGCCTTACATAGAAACAAGACATGAGAACTTGTTACTCTTTCAGAAGATTGAAAAGCCATTTGTAACAAATGGGTCTATAAGATCAAAAGAGATGAAAGTGACGAGGTGGATCGATATCGTGCAAGACTGATGGTCAAAGGATATGCTCAAAAGGTCGTATTGATTTCAATGATATATTATCTCCAGTTGTCAGACTTATCATTATCAGAGTAGTTCTCGCTGTGTGCTTTATTTAGTTTACATCTTGAGCAGCTATATGTAAAAACTGCTTTTCTTCATGGAGAACTTGAAGAATAGATCTACATGCTCCAACTAGAAGTATTTGAAAAAAAAGGAAACAAAACTTTGGTTTGCAGGTTAACAAAATCTTTGTATGCTCTAAAACAGACTTCAAGATCCTGGTACAAGAGATTTGATTCCTTCATAGTTTACCTCAAATACAATAGACTTAGTTCATATCATTGTACATATTACAAGATGTTTGGTGATAATAATTACATCATTAGGCTATTGTACGTAGATGATGTGTTGGTGGTAAGCCCCAACAAAGATTGGATCCAAAAAATAAAGGCATAATTGGCTAGGGAGTTCGATATAAAGGACTTAGGACCAGCAAATAAGATTTTTGGGATGCAAATTCACCGAGATGTAAAAGATAGGAACATTTGGCTTTCACAAAAGAATTATCTGAAGAAAATCTTGCGACGCTTCAACATGCAATATCGTAAGCCAATTTCTATCCCACTTCCTATCAATTATAAATTATCATCAAGTATGAGTCCTAGTAATAAAGCAAAGGTCATACAAATGTCTCAAGTACCATATGTATTACTGGTGGGAAGCCTCTATGTGTATAGAATGATTTGTACAAGACTAGATATTGCTCTAGTAGTTGGTATGATTAGTTGATTGACGGCAAATCCTAATAAAAATAATTGGAAACTAACATATATAAAAAGAACATCACATGTTGCTTTATATTATGGAGGATCAAAGTTTATTGTTAGAGGATATATTTTTTAGACTTTACAGATGATCTTAACAAAAGAAAACCTATTACTGACCATGTGTTTACACTTGCAAGAGGAGCTGTAAGTTGGTTACCCAAATTACCAAATGTGGTAGCTCTATCTACTAGGCTACTATAGAAGCTGAATATATGGCAGCTACTCAAGCCTGCAAGGAAGTAATTTGGATTCAAAGGTTAATAGAAAAACTCGGGCACAAACAATAGTCAGTTACTGTGTATTGTGACAGTCAAAGTGTTTTACACATTGCAAGGAATCTAAACTTTCATTCAAGGATGAAACACATAGGAGTACAATACCCATTTTTCCAAGAAGTAATAGAGGAAGAGAGTGTGAATATGCAAAAGATTCGTACCAAAGAAAACCTAGTAGATGTCGTGACAAAACCAATCAATGCTGACAAGTTCATATGGTGTCGATTCTTTTTTGGTCTATCAGAAACATAAGCAATATGGAACTGGCAAGAGAAGCAAAATTTTGAAAGCTCGCCAAAAATGACTTTAAGTGGGAGATTGATAGAAAGTTAAAGCCACCTTTGGTGGCTTTTGTTTTCTTATGAACCAAACTTTCTATTGTTCGTTCAATTTTCACATGTTATTGTACAATATACGGAGGATATGCGAAATTTCACAAGGTTCAAGATGGAAACACAGATCAAACGCGAAAAGAATTTGCCTATAAATAGCAACCATTTTTCATTGATTCAAGTATCCCAAAATATAAACTTAGAGAGAAAACTCAAGTGTCTCTTAAGTGTTGTTTTGAGTGAGGTGTATTCTCCTAATATAAGAGAGAACAATGTAGTTCTCTCCTTGAATTTAGAGAGGTTGTAATTTCTTCCACTTGATGAAAATCTTCTTTGATTTTGCCCATGATTTTTTCCAATTGGATTTTCTGTGTCAATCTTGGGTGTCGCTTTAATTGGCGTATTTGTTGATATCTTAACTAATGGAATCAAGATACAGTTAATTACACCATTAGCGTTTATGAAAGTAGTTAAAAGACATAGCCTTAAATTCAAAGATTATTTACATATCACCATTGCGTAGCATAATCCCACTAGATTTCACTTACGCGGCCAATTGGTGTGGTTAATAGTGTTTTGAAATTTCTTTGAAATTTTCTGTTTCCCTCAACTCTATTTTAGTTGTATGATATTCTATTATGTAACAGATATTCAGATTAAACAAAAAAGCCTTTTGTAGCGTGTAGTATATAAGAAGGGAAAAAAATATAATGTTGTAGGAAAGTTGCTAAGTTATGTTATAGAGACAATAATAATGGGACACATTGCTATTTTCAATGACACAACTTATTTCTATAATATAACCTAAAAGAACTTTCCTACAATATAACATGGTAAAAATGTTTATAATTTAAATGATACAACTTATATCATTTCACTTTCACAAAAAGTTGGGACCCACAACTTTATTTTTTTTTGTTCACTCTTTCTCCCCTTTATTTATCTCTTTCTCCCACTTAAAATGACACAACTTAGAGACACTTTTCTCATATAACATTCATAAAACCCGTATAAGAATCCAATACATTTTTGGTTAAGGATTAGAGCGGAAATCTCGCTTTTATTCACGAGCTAATCATAGTAGACACAAAACACTTCCTCGTCAGAATTTTAATTTCTAAAAAAAGGAAAAAAGAAATTGCTTTTCAAACCTAGAGTAATTTTCGTACCAGAAACAATAACAAACAAACGTGGCAAAAACATAGATTTGGAAAAATACATTTCTTTTTATTATTTCAAAATCTATTCTCATTTTCACAACTTAATCAACATCAACGTCAACAACAAAAAAAAAAAACTATTTATTGTTTATTCCTAAGCAGGGCCTTAGATAATTATAATAATTAAGAAGCTTAATTTTTGGAACTTCAAATAAAAACAAGAGATAAAAATATTAATTTTCAACTTAAAAAACATGCATTGTTTATCATATCATCATCATTATTATTATTATTATTATTATTATTATTATTATTATTATTACATGCATGCATGCGATCTTGCTTTTTCTCTTAATGCGCAACAAGCTGCATGAGCGTCTTCTCCATTTTCTGAATTCTGAAAAATAACATACAACAAACAACAACATTTCTTTCACCATTCTCCGTTTTCTGACCGAGTCACGACTCAGTTCGTCTTCATCATCAATTTCTCCGAAACAAACACCGCTCGCTGAGTTCACATTCCGATTCAGATAATCCTCCGTTTTCCTCTTCGCTTTCTACAGAATTCCATAAGATTCGATTCCCCTTCCGTTTTCTCCATCGAATCTGGAAATCTGAAATCCGAGATTTCGAAGATCATTTTTCCGCGAGGCCCTGGAAATATCGGAAATCCGAGAAGCTTTTGAGATCTTGGAGTTTGAGTTGTTCCAGGGGTGCACGCGACGGCGGTTTCCTCAAACGGAATCCGAGGAAATTTAGGGTTTCTTGAAGCTCTTCCGAATTCAACGTCAATGGCGTCGTCGAGAGAGCTGAGGCGAACGCGGTGGTGAAAAGTGGACTTTCGATTTTGATGGGCAACAACTGTGTGGGACCAAACCTCGGTGGGACTGGCTTCCTGCAATCGGTTACGGCGGCGGTGTGGAAAACACGACCGCCGGAGGGAAGGCTTCCGCCCCCGAGCCCAGCTGACAACAAGAACAAATCTCCGGCGCCAGCTAATGCGGCTCCCGATTCCTCCAAAGGAGGGTCGAGTGCCGGCAATGGTTCCAACGATGTTTCCAGAGGCAATGATCCTCCCATGCCGGTTCAGAGTACGCCGCCTGAAACGGTGAAAATAGCCGCAGCGGAGTCTAAACCGGCACCGGTTCAGCCCGAGAAGCCGGTTCAGCCAGAGAAGCCGGTTCAGCCAGTGGTGAAAAATGAACCGGCATCTGGTACTGCTGCTGGTGTTGATGCAGGGAAAGCTAAGAAACCTACTCATGTTAAAAGGGTGTCTAGTGTTGGACTTCAAGTGGAATCTGTGTTGGGTAGGAAAACATTGAATATAAAGGATTTTTATAGTTTGGGGAGGAAGCTTGGGCAAGGGCAATTTGGGACAACTTTCCTTTGTGTGGAGAAGGGAACTAATAAGGAGTTTGCTTGCAAATCCATTGCAAAGAGGAAACTTACCACACAGGAGGATGTTGAGGATGTTAGGAGGGAGATTCAGATCATGCACCACTTGGCTGGTCACCCAAATGTGATACAAATACTTGGTGCTTACGAGGATGCTGTTGCTGTTCATGTTGTTATGGAGCTCTGTGCTGGTGGGGAGCTCTTTGACAGGATCATACAGAGGGGGCATTATACTGAAAGAAAAGCTGCTGAACTTGCAAGGTTGATTGTCAGTGTTGTTGAGGCTTGCCATTCTTTAGGTGTCATGCATAGGGACTTGAAGCCCGAGAATTTTCTCTTCATCAACCATGAAGAAGAATCACCCCTTAAGACAATAGATTTTGGACTCTCGGTGTTCTTTAGACCAGGTATATCAGTTGTTTGTGGACCCTTGGGGTTGAGAATCATAATTTAATGGTATTTAAATTGATCGTGATCATGAAGTGATAGCAGAGACATTATGATTATGATCTATTTATTGTTGGAATGTGTGTTCCTACCCACATAATTGCAATTGCAACAATAGAAAACATACGGCTTTGATCTGAGAGAGTTAGCTTGTGATTGGGAGAAGGAGACATTGTTCTAGTTTTTAGAAATTAGCAAAATTATCACAGTTGCATCTACCTTTCGTTCATTTCTTTTTTGTTTACTTTGATAATCTCTTGTTCCTGACTTCAGTCTGCTATTGAAGTTGGATGTGGATTATTTGCTGTTCGTAGAGCTAATTATATTAATTTGGAATTGTGATTACGTTGTCTCAGCCTCTTTCTTGTCTATTATGAATAAAGAGTGAAGACTGAAGACACGGCAGGGCTCTTCCTTAGGCATTTGTTATACTTGAATATGGAAATATGAAATAATATGTTGTGTATTAAACTGATACAAAAAGATACAATATACAGAGACACTAATGGGCTTAAGTGAGAAGCTCAAACCTAATCCAAATCCTAAATAAGGAAAAAAATATTTACAAATAAGAATGCAATCTATACAAATCAATACATATTATATTTCATATTCTAACACTCCCCCTCAAGCTGGTGCGTATATATTGTGAGCACCTAGCTTGTTACAAATGTATTCAACCCGAAGACCTCTAAGAGCTTTAGTGAAGACATCCGCGAGTTAATCATTGGAGTTGACAAAAGCAGTTTTGATTTCTCCTGACTGAATCTTTTCTCAAATGAAGTGACAATCAATCTTTATATGCTTGGTTCTCTCATGAAATACAGGATTAGATGATATATGTAGTGCAGCTTGATTGTCAAAAATGAGTGTCATGGTTTGTTTCTGTTCACAAAGATGAAGCTCCTGAATCAACTGTTTTAACCAGATTAGCTCACAGGTAGCAATTGCCATTACACAATACTCAGCTTCTTCACTAGATCGAGAAACAACAGGTTGTTTCTTGCTCTTCCAAGAAATTAAGTTTCCTCTAAAGAAGACACAATAGCCTGAAGTAGAGCGTCTATCTGAGGGTGTTCCTGCCCAATCAGCATCTGAATAACCACAAATTTCTATATTTCCCTGATCTGAATACAACAAACTTTTCCCTGGTGCTCCTTTGATGTACCGAAGGATCCTCACAGCAGCATTCCAATGAGAATCACAAGGAGTGTCAAGGAACTGACTAGCCGTACTAACATCAAAAGAAATGTCTAGCCTAGTCACCGTAAGATAATTGAGCTTCCCAATCAACCTCCGTTAACTACCAGGATCAGATAACGGCTCCCCCTGTCGGGGCAATAATTTGATATTAGGATCCATGGGTGTATCAATTGGTTTACATCCCAACATACTAGTCTCTTCTAGGATATCTAAGGCACACTTCCTTGGATAGAAAAGTGCTTCACCTATGGTCTTAGGAATAAAAACAGAAGAAAGACTATAAACAAAGGTGAAATGAGGAGTAGAAAGACGGTTATAGCTCAAAAAAGTATAAAGAGGATAAGGGTTATGAGTAGTATGTATACCTTTTCTTTGGGCAACGGGAAGAGCCTCTGGTGAAGGAGCCGGAGGGGAAGAATCAACAAGAGAGAGTCAAGTCTACAGGAGGCACAATTTTATGACGCTGATAGGTGAGAAAAGGACGGTCCTCAAGTATGGATGCAATAGATCGCTCATTTGGGATAGAGTTACCTGCAGCTGGTAAAGACAAGTCAAAAAAAGGAACAGGAAGAACATGATCAACGTGACAACTGAGATGGGATAGAATGAAAGGGTTGTTGATCAAGAAAAGTGACATCAGCAGAAACAAGATAACGCTTAAGATCAGGAGAATAACAACGATAACCCTTTTGAACATAAGAATAACCAAGAAAAAATACTTAAAGGCTTTGTATGTTAACTTGTCCTTACCAAGAGTGAGATCATGAACAAAATAAGTACAACCAAAGACATGTGGGGATAGATGATAGAGAGGAGCATCTGGAAGCAACAAGTTATAGGGAATGCCATTATTAAGCACAGATGAAGGCATGCAGTTGATGAGAAAATAAGAGGTAAGGACTGCATCGGCGCAGAAGTGAATTAGAAGAGTCCGTACAGTTTCAATGAGATGTCTGCTTTTACGTTCGTCCACTCCATTTTGTTGTGTAGTGTGAGGACAAATAGTCTGGTGTAAAGTACCCTGTGTGGCTAAGAAATTAGAAAAATCAATAGAAACATATTCCTTAGCATTATTACTACGTAAAATACGGATAGAAGTACCAAATTGAGTATGAATCTCTGCAAAAAAAAATTTATAAATAGAGAATAACTCAGAACGATTCTTCATTAAATAAATCCAGGTACAACGTGAATAATCATCAATAAAAGTAACAAAATACCTAAACCCTAAAACAGACAAACTATGACTTAGACTCCAAATATTTGAATAAATAATTGAAAAAGGAGCATCAGCTCGTTTATTGACTCGACTGGCAAAGGAGGAGCATATATGCTTCCCTTGCTGACATGACTGACAATCTAAAGACTAAAGACCGGATAAAAGAGGAACCATCTTCTGCAGTTTTGAAAGACTGGATGACTGAGGCGACTGTGGATGAATTGTGGAGACTCTGTGAGAGAATTACTGAAGGACGAGGCACTACCAGGTAGAACAGGCCCTGTGACTCATGGCCCACTCCAATCGTCTTCCCTGTATCTGAATCCTGCACAGAAACAGAATGGTTTGAGAAAGTAACAATGCAAGTAAGAGAATTGATCAATTTACTAACAGAAATTAAGTTATAAGGGATGTCAGGAATGTAATAAACAGACGACAAAGTCAAAAAAGAGGTTGGACAACCTTGTCCCATCCCATGAATAGGGGCTTTAGTGCCATCAGCAAGAGTGAAAGAAGGTAAATGATCAGAATAAGTAAGAGATGTAAAGAGTTCCTTATTACCACAGAGGTGATCAGTAGCACCTGAGTCAAATATCCAAGGGGACCAAGTGATGTAGAGTGAGAAACACAAGCAACAAGATTACCAGTATCTGGAGCAGAAGGCTGAGACTGAGGAAAAGCCTTCTTGAGAAGAGTCTGGAGTGCTGCATAGTCTTCAGAAGAGAGAGACTATACCAGATGAAGCAATATCTGACTGAGCTATATTAGCAACATGAGAGGGTCGCAGGTGAGGATACTTTGTGTAACAACGCTCCTCATAATGACCAAGTTGTTGACAATAATGACAATAAGGTCGTTGACCACGTCCGCCCTGGCCCCTACCACGACCACGACCACCTCCAATGATCCCGCGAAAGTCAGTACATGAAACAAGAGCAGTGGAATCAACAACAAAAGATGATGTAGGAGCAGATTTCTTATTGAGGTTCAGAAGGCGCTGATAAATCAGTGATAAATCAGGATCCCACTAGTCAAGATAGTATCACGGACATTATTATATTCTTCGGGAAGACCAAAAAGTGTGGCAACCATAAAGAGACGCTCCACCTGTTTCCTATATACATAAGCATCAATAGGTAGAGCAACATATCTAAATATGCCTGTATCAAAGATCGACTTTTGCCAACATACGTCTCCATCTGCAAATCCATAAGTTGAGACATGATAGAATAGAGTTGTTGAACATCATTAGTGTAAAGGTGTTTTGCTTCCTCCCACACTTCATTATGTTTGAAAAGAATAGAAAATATCCAAAACGATTGGATCAATAGACTGCCAAAAAATACTTAGAAGCTGGTTGTCAATCCTTTCCCAATCAGATTTTTCTTCCTTTGGAATATCAATAGATTTAACTGTGAGATGTTGCCCATGCCTCTATCCAAAAAACCAGACTCGAACAGAGGTAGCCCAATTCTTGTAATTAACAGAACCTTTCAGTTTGGAGGAGGTAATGGGCCCAACATTGGTGGAGATGATACTTGAGGAACTTTTGGCAGGAGGAGGAGGGGAATTAACCTCCGAGTGAACAGGAGAAGCTTTTGCCATTAAAATAAATCACAAAGGTATTGAACCGAGTAAATAGAAACTAACCTGATAGCCAATCAAGAAGAGACACACACCGAAAGTGAGACCCACGAAGAACCAGTAGCAGATCTGGAAAGGGTAGGAGAAGGCAATCTTTTCTGGCCCATGGCTGGAAAAGTGCACCGAAACAGTGCACACGCGTCGGTAAGAGGTGGCGCGTGAGCACCACACTCAGATGAAAGAAGTCGCGCGTGTGGCATCGACGATGGTGGGTCTTCCACAGAACAGGTTGCCGGAGAAAGGAGGTTCTGATCGCAGGTGTCCCGGTTGAAATTGTCACTGGAAAAGTTCTTCGGTGATCGTGAATAATGACAAACGACAATTTTTCCGGCGAACGGAGGTGCTGACAAGTACAGAAAACGATCTGAAGGGGCACACGACTTAGATGACTTGCCGAAAGGACACAAGGCAAAGAAAAAGAGAACTCCTAAGCAGTGGGCTTAGGTTTTAAAGCGAAAACGAGATTTTAAGCGAAAGCGAGGGTCCCCAGAACAAAAGACCTCTGGTACCAACTTGAATATGGAAATATGAAATAATATGTTGTGTATTAAACTGATACAAAGAGATATACAATATATAGAGACCCTAATAGGGTTAAGTGAGAAGCCCAGACCTAACCCAAATCCTAAATAAGGAAAAGAATATTTACAAATAAGAATGCAATCTATACAAATCTATACATATTATATTTCCTATTCTAACTGTTATCAAACATTTTCCTCTTGATGTTTAAATATTTGATAATCAAGCAAGAGTTTTGATGTTTCAAAAAAAATGTTACAAGATTACTTGCACATTTTTTCTTCAGTATCTCGATCACCCACATAAATCAAGATAATCCAAGAGGGAAAACAGAACCAGAGCACAAGGATAAACAGCGAAAGGTTCTTTATTGATTGAAAGAAAGGTTACAAGGGGCCAATCCTCCTACCAGGGAGATATCCCCGTATCTGAGCCTCACTTCATAAAGTCTCTACAGAAAAGAATCAAGATACTGATTACATTGTATTTCCCCCTATTTATAAGCAGTCCCAATTCACAGAAAAGTCAACCCACTAACTATTTGGAACTAACTCCCTGAAGCATTCACAGGAGATTCTACTTTTCTTTCCAAAACTAAAATTTTGAACGAAGTGATTCTTCATGGGAATTACTTCTTAGTTGATTAGTAATTTTTAGTTAGCTAATTGCAGGCATTATTATGGCTACTTTATCTTAATAAAAGTGAAGAGGATTTTTCTGTCTATTCCTCCCTTAAATTGTCGAGAAGGAAAGCCCATTTCATATTTTGTTTAGATACGGTAAGATGACTGCTCAGCAGATGCATAGATATGCATTTTATCACCTCAACAGGTTGTTTACTAATAAGTTAAAGAATCATACACGTAAGCACCAAAAAGAAATAAAACAATAATAATAATAAAAGAAAGAAAAGAAAAGAACCATACATGTAAAGAAGAATCTGTATATTATAACAGTAGTGGTTTATAGGGCTTATGTTTATGGAATTGTACAGTGAAGAGAGAAAGTGGTTGACTGGCTCACCATTTGAGCTAAATATTGAATACGCCTGCAAATGTATTGCGGGGTTGTAGGATGAGTGCATTTTAGTTGTTTAAGTCATATATGATATACACAACATCCTGTTATCCCATATCAAAGATACATTCTCTTGACTTGCTAGGGTGACCTATTTTGTTTAACTGTGGATTTAGTTTTTTCTAGATCAGATTGAGAAAAATATTCATAATTTCAGGTGAAACATTTACTGATGTGGTTGGGAGCCCATACTATGTGGCCCCTGAAGTTTTGCGGAAGCACTATGGTCCAGAATGTGATGTTTGGAGTGCTGGGGTGATCATTTATATTTTACTGAGTGGAGTTCCCCCATTTTGGGACGGTGAGAATGCTATGCCACTTGATTTTGTCGTTTCAACTCCTTCACAATATTAGTTGTGATTGTAATGTGTATTGCTTATGTGTTTGGATCAGAAACGGAACAAGGAATATTTGAACAAGTTTTGAAAGGAGAGCTTGACTTTGTTTCTGAACCATGGCCTAGCATATCTGAAAGTGCAAAGGATCTTGTTAGAAGAATGCTTATAAGGGACCCTAAGAAGCGGATGACGGCACATGAAGTTCTTTGTGAGTATGCATGTCTCCTTGATGCTACATGTTTTGATCTGAAATGCGTCTTCGAAATTTTTTTACACTTTTTTGTCACTAGAGATAGGTTTCAAGTAACGTAATAGATAGTCCAGTTATGCAGGATTTTCTTTTTCTTAACAATGTTATATTCATGATGACAACTTATCTGGTTAGTTACTACCTACTACTATAAACTAAAAACTGCACTTATTATGCATATTACAGACTGAGAGCCCTTTCGTTTAAATTTAAAAAAAAATAAGGGTTCCATTTTTCTACAGCTATGTCAGAAAGATTTATATTCCACGTACACATATTCACCAGGATTCTGGAACAAATTTGTCTGTGGACAAATGCCAAAAAAATATTAATGACCTGTTTATTTTCACTTGAACTTACAGCTAAAAAAATGTAAAATGTACTGGTGGACATTGTCATTTGATATTTCAGATGAAATGGTCCCCCAATTCACATTTGGTGATTTTCTTTTTGGAAACAGCGTTTGATTATATTACGCCCCCATTTCATTTTTCACTTAACAGACATGAAAATTTGCAATAGCCATATGAATGGATATAATATTGAAACTGTAAACATCGATAATTATGGCTGAATCACTACATTTCTTCCCTTTTGCTGCTTCGTTATTATTATTTATTACCATTTTGCCCAAAGAGTCAGTGGGCTGATATTCATTAATCAATAATCATGACTGATATTCATTAATCAATGATCATCATTTGAGCCACTGATTTCTCTCTTCCTTATAGGGCTCTCAACTGTTCAAGAATATTACTAGATAACATTTAAAATGAGTTCTCCTTCCCCTTTAAATCAGTTTGCTTAGTTAGACAAAAGGTTTCAAGGAGCATTTAATTTGATGTTGAAGAGATTGAAACAGGGTTCTCGAAAGTGGGATAAAGAAAAGCATCATGATCGATTGATCCATCTCTGTTATTTTTTGTTTGTTTTTGGGGCTGCATAATCATGACATTTATCTGATTATTTTCAATAATAACCGTAATTTATGTTCTGTTTCAAATTTGAAACATATTAATCTTCTTTATTTTTAAATATACAAATACATTAAGCTCGATGATACGCAGGCCACCCCTGGGTTCAGATTAGAGGTGTTGCTCCTGATAAACCGCTTGATTCTGCTGTCTTATCTCGTTTGAAGCAATTCTCTGCAATGAACAAGCTCAAAAAAATAGCCATTCGAGTGAGTACCTGTTGTTTGAGATTAGAAGTACTGCTTAGTCTTACACATGCAACCTTTTACTAATCTAATGTTTTTGCTGGGATGATGTTCCCTCCCTCTCTCTCTCTCTTTAAAATTACTATTTTTGGAACAAAATAAATCACGAAATTAGTAGCTTAGCTTTATTGTTCTCAAGAACCACCACATTTTATTGCTCAAACTGAAATATAATTTTCCATAAAAGGTTGACAGGAACAATCTCTATGAACTGAGAAAACTTATCTTATTGATTGACGTCTTAGTCATTTGAAGAATAAAGCAGAAACTATGCTGCTATTGTTGATTATATTGAAAATTTTGCAAACAACGAATGAAGTGTGACCCTAGGAGATAAATACTCTGTTTATGAAATGGCATAGACAAGTGCTCTATTGAGCAAGTAGTTTATATCATTTTAGCTCTGCTGCCTCATTAGGATGTAGTTTGTTCCTTAGGCTTTTTTCGTCTAGTGTGTACTTTTATGCCAGGCGGCTTCTTTCATGTCCTGGTGGCTTGGAAATTCTTCTTGTTTATTGTTCTAGGTTTTCATTTGTATTATGTAGTATGACTTCCTGTAATGTTCCTTGGCAGGTAATTGCTGAAAATCTGTCTGAGGAGGAAATTGCAGGACTGAAAGAAATGTTCAAGATGATAGACACAGATAATAGCGGACAGATCACTCTTGAGGAACTGAAAAATGGTTTGGAGAGAGTGGGTTCTGTTCTTAAGGATTCTGAAATTCATTGGTTAATGCAAGCGGTGAGTGCTTACCGGCTGCTATCCAAAATGGCAGTTCTATGAAGGCATATTTCTTGAACTATAGGATTTTTGACTGGTTATGGTTTGATTAATTTCGATACAATTGGACAGACCATAGTAGATATTAGTTATTTATAAGAAACCATTATATTTCAAAAGGAATGACTGGATATAACTCATTCTAGAAAAACAAGAATGCCCTTTCTTTTTCTCCTTTAGATAGATAGGTGAACCGGCCTTGAATATAATGCACTGTTGCATTAAACCAATGATTGATTTTATTCTGCATTTCATCTGATTAATCTATTTGCTTTCTTTTTTAAAATTCAGGCTGATGTTGATAACAGTGGTACCATAGACTACGGTGAATTCATAGCAGCTATGCTTCATCTAAACAAGGTCCAGAAGGAGGATCATCTATATGCAGCCTTCTCCTACTTTGACAAAGATGGGAGTGGATACATCACACGGGATGAGCTCCAACAAGCCTGTGAACAGTTTGGCCTAAATGAGGATCATCTAGATGATATAATACGTGAAGTTGACCAGGATAATGTAATATATTGCTTTCCAGTGGTTTACTATGTTTCCTTTCACTTAACCCTGACAAATATGGATAGCATTTATTTTCTTGTTTTCTTTACTTGACTTGTATTTTGCACTGTTTCAGGATGGACGCATTGATTACAGTGAGTTTGCTGCAATGATGCAAGACACTGATTTTGGCAAAATGGGGCTACAAATAACATGAGTAAAATTGTGGATGCCTTCAAGCATTAGTGAACCCTTGGTCTTGCCAAATGAGGACTTGATAAATAACTTTCAGCTAGCATCTTTTCTTCCAGAGGCCAGTTTATTTAAGTGCATGCATTTAGAAATTGTTTGAGCTTCAGGAAGAGGAAGCATGAATGGCGTGCTAATTGTAGTGTTTATGTATTTACAAATCTTTTTTTTTGTTGTTGAATATAATCAAGTGCAATAGATCAAAGTTTTTCCCTTTGAATCTGTTACCCTTTTTTTGGGGGGTAAATGGATGGTAGAACGATTTTGCAGCATGTCATCTAAGGGTGTTACTGAGTTTGGGTTCGCACTCTGCATCAAATTCAGGAGAAGTTTCCAAAAGCAGTGTTGAAGAACATGCATTATGCGATATGGATGCTCTTCCAGCTGCGCAGGTCTTGTGTCTTTGATGTCATGCCATGCCATTTGTCAGTCAGTCTCAAACCATGTGCTCATGCCTAATATCATGTTGTATCAACTCATGTACCCTGTGCGCATAATGTATAGAGCCAAGTTATCTGTACCTTTTCGGTTAATGATGTTTCATTTTCAGTGTATACACTCCAATCAGTACTTTTTTGTTTTTTGTTAACTTCCAATTTTTGCTAATGACATGAGGTGATGAGTTTGATGAGATGCAATGCGTGAACCTCTTTCAGAATACAAGATTTGTTGTCCCAGCTCCTATCTCCCTTCACATTGTCCCCCTTTATTTTTTTTAGGTATATTCATTGTTTTTGCAATTTCGACCATGAAAGCTAAAGGTCTCCCCAAAGATCAAATTTTTGATTTTCGAATGAGGTATATTCTTTGTTTTTGCAATTTCGATCATGAAAGCTAATGGTCTCCCCAAGGATAAAATTTTTTATTTTGGAATTCAAACATCCACTTTTAACTATTGCGACTGGCCATTAGATTTGGTTTAACGGCGAAGCGTAGGCATGTAAATGGGTTAGGCTGGGCTAGGCTTTGACCTTTTTAGTCTAAGCCTATGTAAAAAAATATTTAGCTTATTTGGCTTACTAAAGGCTTTATTTATAGGCCAAACCTGACCTATTTTTAAAAATTAGAGAGTCTTGTATGGCCTACAGGCCTTGTAGGCCTCCCTATTGAAATATTTTTAAAAATTTTTAATTTTTTTTTAACAATTTTTAAAATATTCGCTTGACATTACAAGTCATCAACGTGTTCATAAATTGTTGCATTTTTTTATACGAGATATAAATTTCACTAGTGAGCATTAAAAATTTTACAATAGTAAAAAAATAACTATAAAAATATACTGAGCAAAGTTCCATTCATGCATTCACTAGTACTTCTTGTAATTCATAAAAAAATGACAAACAAGAAAGAGTCAACATAATACCCCAGCTCTATAATGTATATCATATACCCTAAAATAAATATATTATTTAATTTTATTTTAAAAAATTAAATAGGCCAGCCTACAAGGCTTTAGGCCAGGCTTGACAAAATTGGCCTATGACCTACTTGTTAAAAAGGCTTTCTTATAAGCCTAAGTCTACTCTACTTTTCAACGTAGGTCGGGCTAGGCTAGGCTCAACGTAGGCCGGGCTGTAGGCTAGGCCAGGCCAGTCTGGCCCATTTACACCCCTAGAACTGAGGGGTTTAGGTAAGTTATATTAGGTTATGTATTTAACTTCTACTTATATAAAAAAACAAAAAAAAAAAACTATTGTGACCGGCTATGTTGCTCCGACACGGGATATGAGACATGACATGCCGATATGTTAATTCTAAAAAATGTCCTATTTCAACAAGTTAGGATACATTTTGATATTAAATAATATTTTTAATATTTATATTATAGTTTATATTTAATATATATAACAACTCATAATAAGTTATATAACCAATCAAATATTCAAATTTTATAACATAAATATAAAACAAAAATAATTTTTTATGTCAAATTTCATAACAGTAAAAAATTGATTTACAATTTTTTTTATTTAGTTAATAAAATAAAATTTGGATAAAAAAAAATGTCAGATATATATCGGAGTGTTAACCGTGTGTCAAAAAAAATTGATCATACGCCGAAAACAAGTGTTGGAATATATCATAGCATTAATACCGACACAATTTTTTTTTTTAGATGACCCGCATGGATTGAGTTGTCCCATTTGGTTTTAACCAGTAATGTGCAATATAACCAAAAAAATTGAACCGAATCATGAACCAAATAGAACCGCTCCTTAAATAGCCAGTTTTTAAAAATCAGTTCATGAACCGAACGGTTTTTAAAGAACCAGTTCATGAACCGAACCGGTTTTTAGAACCAGTTTAAGACCCGAACCATTTTAAACCGAACTGAATCGTTTTCAAATCGAACCGAACTTTTTTCAAACCAAACCAAATTGATTTTTATAATTTTATTTTTTAATTTTTTAATTTTTTTTCTTTTCAAAAGAGGGTCGACCCGAACCGGTTACGAACCGAACCGTTTCGAACTGAACTGAACCACTTTCGAACCGAACCAGTTTTGAACCAAACCGAACCACTTTCAAACCGAACCATTTAAACCAATTAGATTCAATTTTTCAAAAAATCTGGTTCGATTCGATCCATGCACATCCCTAATTTTAGCTAATAACTTCTTTAACTTCTCAACAAAGCAGGACCAATTAATTAGACATGCCCGAAGCAGGTTTTGTTGGGCAAGCCTTCTTATTTCCTAATAATTAAGTTGTCAACATGATAACATCAAAGAAAAGGAAAAGATAATTTATTTCATGTCTCAGTAGGTTTTTTTTTTTTTGGTATTGTATAATATTACTCTGTTGATGTAAAAAATGATGCTATAATGTTATAAAAAAAAAATAAAAAAAAATGATGCTATATATTTTATTAAAATTTCCAATGTGGCCATAATATTCTAGACGAATAGTAGAAAGTGATTTCCCATCTTATAATTTTAATCAACTTGTGATTCGTTAATCAATAGTAATTCTTTAGCAGATTCAGATAAAAGATTACAAAAGAAAAAGATCTTCATAGAATTACATTTTCGTTTAATTTTTTTATTTATTTACAAGTTGAAAACCAAGACTTATTGATGTAAAGGTTGGTTCGTGGTGTGTAGGAGTGTTAATAGGCCGAGTCGAACCGAGTTTTGGTCTTAAAAGACTAAGTCTGTGTTTAAATGTGTCAGCCTGATCAAGCCTGTTAGCTGTTATAAATATTATTATCGGTCTGTGGCCTGACTTATTTACAAAAAGTAAAAATCTGGTTTAGCCTGTTTAAAAATAATAAAATAACAGCTTACCAAAAAAAAAAATAACAAAAATTTATCAAAACAGAATATACAATCAACAACACTAGTAATTCCATAAATATCATAAATTCAATATATATCCAAACAGCATAATATAGAACAAAATCATTCAAAAAGTCTATTTAATCAATAAAATTGTGTGAAATGGATTGAAGAGAAAGAGATGCTATTACAAGTAATATAAAATATATATATATATATATATATATATATAAAAATATACTAGGCCAGTCTGAGAGGCTTTTAGGTCGAGCTTTTGAATTGGAGCCTGAAGTCTTTTTATTAAACGAACTTTTATACAAGTTCAAGCCTAGTGCCAACAATCAATTTTAGACATGTATGCTCAGACCTTCCCGAGTCGAGCCAAAGGCCCCTGGCTCGTTTAGCACCCCTAGTGGTGTGTGCACATGTCAACAGGTTTAAAATGTATATAATAAAAAAAAGTATATAATGTATATTTTGACTGCTTTTCGTACTTATCTGTAATGAACCGCTGTAATATACTGCTTGGGGTGTTCGTTATCTGGATTCGATTGGTTTTGGAAGGAAAAATCATCCGATCCAATCCCTTCGGTTTGATCATATAATCATCCATTCGGTTTGAATTTTTTTCAAATCCGATCCAATCCAATCCAATTTTTTGCAGTTTGAATTGGATCGATTTTCGATTTTTAAAGATCCTAAAATTTATTTCATGATTATTGTGCAAATAATATCTTTTGGGCTATGATTGGGGAAATGTCCAAGTAGGTAGAGTAGAATTAATATATTGGATCGATTTGGATTGGATCGGTTTTCATTAACCAATCCGAAAATCGATCCAATCCAATTAAAATTTGCGATTTTTTTTCAGTTGTCGATTTTTCGGTTTATTCGATTATCGGTCACCGCGGTTTGAATTGGTTAATGAACATCCCTATATACTTCTGTAAAGCATCATTGAACCTTCCTTGATTATGAAGTTCATTTCCCTGCAAAACTTAAATTTAGTTCATCAAGCCACACAGTAGACTAGACACCAACTGGAGCTTTACAGAAACTGAAAAATAGTAATCAGTTATCAGAGTAGTAAATCGAGTAACATTTCATGTCTTATCATGCAATGACAGCAAGTGTATTTTCTGATCAGATCATTCTATGGAACTAAAGTATTATTCAAATGTAATTTTATTTACGAATCTTTCTCATAGCCTACATGATTCTGGAAAAGGATTCTCGCAGGGCGTCATCACTTGGCTTTAGTAGATAATTTGGGCTTTAAGGACTACCACATGATCATAATATGCTTCCATCTGGAAAAATTAGAATGTATTCTTAACGACTCTTTCAAACTACAAATAGGGCATCAAAAATAGTGGAACTTACACCAGGCTTTTTTTTCCTATTCAACATGGATTCATCTCATGTCAAGAATTTACCCGGGTACACCCCTCCCTACCCGGGTAAATAATTCAAGCAATTTTTTAGATATCAAGAAATATACCCGGGTACACCCATCTCTATCCGGGTAGGCAAAAAATTTCAAAAAATACTCGGGTAGGGAGGGGTGTACCCGGTTAGGCTTGGTGGTCAACGGTCAAACAGGGGCAGATTGATGTTATGTTTTTTGGGGAGGTTAAATTTTTGAAATAGTTTATAATGAAGGTCAATTTGATAATTAATTATTCCTAAAGGGTTATAAGGGTCAAAAAGCCCTATATACTGCGTAATAAAGTGATTTTAATTAATTAAGAGAAAAATATTTGTCATTTTAAATGATATAAAGTTATGTCATTTTAAGAGAGAGATAAACACACAAAATATTTTTTATTTAAAATTTAAATTAAAAAAAACACTCACTTTCTCTCCCATGATTTTCATTTCGTGTGTCTATCTCTCTTTTAGAATAACATAACATATGCCATTTAAAATGACAAACACCAAACCCTTTAATTAATCATGTTTGAAATGGTTCTGTGGTTTACAATCCCCGTTATATTCATTCAAATATTTTTTTAAAAAAATAATAACTATAACTTTTTTTTTTTTTTTTTTGATAACATTACTATAACTTTTTTTTAGGAGAAAGATATACTTACCTCCAAAAAAATTTACAATCTTTACAACTAATGTATTTATTATTGATTTTTGTCAATCTAACAGTTATAATTTATTGAAAATTATTGGGTCGTATTTATTAATTTTCAATAAATTATAACCGTTAGATTAATGAAATCAATGGTGATTAGGTTGATTGTAAGTGTGATAAATTTTTTTGATGGTAAATATATATATATTTTTTTAATACATCAGTGAGAATTGGAGAAATAACTTAATCAAATCCCTCCTCATTCATTTAAATATTTTAACGTCTTTTAAGCTTTTTTTTTTTTAACTCTGAATAGGAGACACGTTAAACCCTCGAAACCAAACCCTAGCCGCCGTCAGTGCCGGAGACTTTGTTCAAGCTTGGGTCCACCGGCGGCGACTCGTCGGTGGTTCTGAATCCAGGTCATTCCCCTTCTTCTTTCGAACCTTAAAAATTCTCTCTCCTAAATTCACATGCATAATTCCTCTTCCATTTTTGTTCTTGACTTGGTTGCTGAGTTGAATGTGATGTTTGATGTGCTAAAAAAAAAAGCTAGAAACCTTGTTATTCTAATTGCAGCGCTGGACATTTTTAATTTATTTTTTCCCCTTTTGTTTTCCTTGTGACAAAAACTTTCTTTGCGATTTTCTTTTCAACATTAGAATCGGTTATTACTTATTAGAACAGAAAATAAATAAATACATAAAAATTTCAGTTTCTGTATACTGTATATAAATTCTTCTATAATAATTCCTTTTTTTTTTCCCAGCATATATGTGCCTCTTCTAATGAGCAATGATGCTGGCAAGACATGTTCAAACTATTGGTAATCTCCTTGAGAGGATTATTGAAGTTCCTGTTGCACAGCTCAGAGGTATAAATATGAATTTCTGTATTTGGTACTCAAATGTGTCCAGTTACAATGAGCTACCGAGAAAGCTCAACAAGTCTGAGAGGAAACCACCAGTGAGAAGTTTTAATGAACTCAAGCGAGAAGCTAGGTTGAAGAAAAAGGAGAGACAAAATGTTCATGAGCTTGTATTACAACCTCCTGAAAATGGCTTGTTGGTTAAGCAATTAGTTCCTATTGCTCATCAGGTTTATGCTGCCAGATGTGAACTATTGTCTAGTGTTTCAAGTCTTGTTAATTACACGGCTATTTATTCATGCAGGTAATGCCACAACTTCTGCGTTGTTCATTGTGGTTGTTTGAGCTTTTAGCGTGTTGCAAGTAGAACCTTTATTCAAGTGTGATACCTGAGTTCAAACCAGAAGTCTTTTTTATTTTATTTTATTTTATTTTTATCTGGTATTTTTGAAATTGAGTCATACTTTTAACTTATCAGATAAGTTCTATAATATGATTTTTTAATGCTTATTGGGTTTTGGAGAATTTCTTAAAGTGAACAGTAGCTATTCTAAGTGAATAATCTTCACATATCTCATCACTTTGGATTTTTTTAATATACATTGTTATTTGAGATTGTTAGAATATATGAGAAGCATCTCATAATATCTTGATTGTATTTTAGAATAGTTTAGAGTATTTTATATGATCTCTTATGAATAATTTCCTTGTTTCTTTATATTCCATGATTTATTCTCTTATTTAATTAGGATTTAAAGTCTAATATTAGCTTTGTAGTTTGCATTGCATGATAAACATCCTTTACAACAAACCCCCAAGGGTAGCTCAGTTGGCAGCTGAGCTCCCAAGGGATTGCTTGGTGCAGGGATCAAACCCTGCCTCAAGCAGTTTCTTGGAAAATCTTTGGGGGCTAGAGGATAAGCCAAAAATCTTCGGTTGGGGGATTAGTATCGTCCTTTCTCCGGTTGCGAAGTTTAGTGCACCCACTGTTACAATGAGGGGCTAGCCCAAACGGGCCGTACCCCGAGGGCATGGTGTCCGGAGAAGGTTGAATGGGGATACCTCCTGGTAATGTACCAAAAAAAAAAAAAACAAAAAAAAAAAATCCTTTACAACAATATCAATATGATTTTATTATTTTGAGTACTCGTTTTCCTCCTTTTATGCCTGAAAGCCGTATAATTTCAACAGAGATTTTGGATGCTTTGCAGCTTATGTGGGGAAGTTCATGTTGGTCATCCGCCACATAAAATTAGAACATGTAATGTTAGAGGAAGTCTATCAAGCAAAGAACATAGTTGGGTCAAAGGTGGTATTGGACATGTTCTGCCACTTGTAGAGTCGTTTCATCTGTATGATAGAATAGGGAGGGCTGTTTCCCATAATGAAATGCTTGAAGTGGACCGAATTCCAGCAATTGTTGAGTTGTGTGTCCAGGCAGGTTTTGACATACCTGAGTACCCCACCAGGAGAAGGGCCTTCCCTGTTTACTGTGTTGCTGGTAGGATAATTGATTTTGAGAAAAGATTTCCAAAAGAAATTTCTCTTGGCAAAGATATAGATGCATGTGGGTTTTGGTGTAAGAAAAAGAGATCGGATGAAGACAAAAATTCTATGGCGATGCATTCTGATGATATCCAAGGTTTATGAAGTCAAATGCTTTTTTCTTCTCTTTCTCACTCTCTCAGACACTCACATATTCTGTCCTTTGTTAACTACTGACTGTGTACATGCTTTTGTGCAGCTATTGCTGTCCGAGGCATGAAAGCATGGGAGAAAATGCGCAGGGGAGCTTCAAAACTTATGGAGAAGTATGCTGTCCAAACTTGTGGATATTGTCCAGAGGTACAAGTGGGGCCTAAAGGTCATAGAGTGCGGAATTGTCAAGCTTACAAACACCAGATGAGGGATGGGCAGCATGCGTGGCAGGAGGCGACATTTAATGATTTGGTACCTCCAGTATATGTATATCACACTCAAGATCAGCAATCTAGGAAGCCTTTAGTAAATGGGTTGAAGAGGTACTATGGTATGCTTCCTGCGGTGGTTGAGCTATTTGCACAGGCTGGTGCACCAATTGAAAAGAATTACTCACCTATAATGAGGGAGGATGTTGTAGTCCCTGAAATGGATGAGGAAAAGTTGGTTGTTTAAAGCAATGAGCTGAATGATTTCTTATTCACGGAGGAACCATTTGGGCTGTGGAAGAGTCTAAATATGAAAATTGAGGTTTAATTTCTTTCAAATAAGGTCAGATTTTCTCTTCTGGAAAAGATAGAAGACGTGTCTAATATGGGTAATTAGGGATGTAATAGGGTGGAAATAAGAACACTGCACTAAACTGTCTTGTGTGCGTCTGGCAAATTAAGGTTGCAGTCTTGATTATATGGAACACATCTGCTTCTGGCACCCACTGCAGGTCAAAAAACTTGGATTTCCTGCTTGGATTCCTTTGGGAACAAGTCTTAATCCCACTACCAATATCATTTTCACTTTATTTAGCTTCTAGTGTATTCTGGTTTTATGCGATATTTTGTAATATAATTTCCTGCTACTAAAACCAAAGAAAACCTTAGTCCACAGGATTAGTTTAGTATTTTCTGGTATACAAGAGGCAAAGAGATAGTTGACGGTGCATTGGGTAAAGAACAAAATTTGGCTTTCTTGCCAAATACCTATATTATAAAGATGAAGAAAGTAGAAAAATAACTTAAAAGATTAGCAACAACAGTAAACTAGTTCCTGGGTTCTACTCCTTCAGATTCGCAGAACAGGTATAATCCTGTAATTTTCTTAGATAGTTTCTTCTTATTTACTTGAATATACTATAAGGAACCATCTCACCTAAAAGCTTAAATTGTTTAAATGAAGGTCATATTAATGGTTTTATATTATATTTCTTTGATACCATGATAAACAACCATCTTATTCAAAATATTAAGGTGTTAAGGTGAATGCTATTTTAATGGTTTTATATATAATTTCTCTAACATATACCTTGGTTATGTTGAGTGGATGAATGCCATGCATTTCTGTTTCTGAACTGCTTCCCTGAACTTGTGCTGCCATACTAATATCAAACACCACATCCATCTTCCGAACAGATCTCACCATTGAGCCACCTTCAAATCCCTTTGCCATCGAACCACAACACCATCTTGCAGCTGCTTCCGAGCCCTCTAACTGCGAGACCATTGCGCACACCTAGCAAACCCACTGCATGTAACGGTAAGCCTCTTTGGTGCAACCTGCATCTCATCAAGCCCCAGGGTTATTTGCTTGTGTTAGTAGAACAATTTCAGGTTGGTTAAGAAATTGGAGATGTGATTGCTGGGAGTGCCAATGTCATTAATATATTCTCCGAGAGTCCACAGAACAGTGCGATTTTAAACGTAATAGATTGCAGGTGCTTAAGTGGTACAACTTGTTTCATCAACAGTATCTTACAATCTTGTAACAGAATATATTGTAATTAGTCTTGTAATGCACGAATGCATGCAAGGGTATTGTTTCAGGTTCCCCCGGCCCCCTTTTTTTGTTGATGCATTACCATAGCATTATGCTTTGGTCTGAGACATCTAACTTTCTATAATGAAAATTAGATGGATATAATATTTTTATCCTCCAAATTACTTTACTCTTCATCAAGTTTTTGCTAAAAATTAATCTAACAGCTATACTGATTGCTTGCCTGTGTTCTCTCTCATGTTTGTGCTCCAAAGTTTCTAGATTTTCTTTAGATGATTTTTCTGAATTGTCCAAGTACGAACAGTTTACGTATATACGCAAGTTTTGATGACTAAGGCACTCATGGTATATGATGGATTTGAGAAATTAGCACACATATATTATACTATTTTCTTATTTTCTTTTATATATATATATATATAGACACAACACACACACACAACACTATATATATATACACAACACTTCGAATATATTATTTTGTTTTGTTTGCTGTTGTTCTGATATAATTCTCTTCTTATATGTTATACTGTCATATAATATATCAACATTTAAGTCTACAAATTTGTATTAATTTTAGTTGAAATTTTATATTTTCCTTTCTAGCCATGCCAATTGATAAAATCTTGAACTAGCAAGCCACGGAACACGCCTGAACATGCAAATAGGTTGAGCAAATATTTGATTTTGTATTTCAGCATCAGTTTATTGAAAGGCGAAGAATTAAGTTTCCTTGTCTTAAAGAGTGGTTGTAAAAAGTGGCAAACAAGTCATGTAGTTCAAGAACACTTTACAAAGTTTGTTCCAAATGCACGACTTAGCTTAGCTAGTCATAGTTTCAACCTTTGTGGAGCTATGAGTACAAATTATATGCTTGTTTTGGGCTGTTTTTGTCATATTTTGATGTTATTTTTTTGTTTATTTATTTTAGTAGTTTCCTTACTAGGGTTGGCTGCAAACCACCCTATTATTTAGGGTGGCCATGGCCGATTTGAGCTGGGTTTAACTTGACCAGTATATATTGATTGGGTCCACTTGGGTTTAGACAAAATGTACAGGTTTATTAATCATAAAAGTTAAAATTAGAGGTAAAAGTGTTTGCAAGCATTTGTTATTTTAAACAACATAATTATCTATCATTGATCATAATTTGATATATGTTTGCTGGTTCATTAGGTTCCTTCATAAAATTAGGAGGGAGAAAGAGAGTATTATGGAAGAGAAAAAATGTAAAAAATTAATAAATATGCATTAAAATATTTAACTTTTTTTTTTTGGTAGAATAAAATATGGGTTTGATGTTTGTCCTTTTAAAGGGCATAAGTTATATTATTTTAGGAGAGAGATAAACACAAGGAATGAAATCATGGGGGAGAAAGTAAGTGATTTTTTTAATTTAAATTTTAAATAAAAATATATTATTTTGTGTCTATCTCTCTCTTAAAATGACATAACTTTATGTCATTAAAATGACAAACATTTTTTTCATAAAATATTTGACTTAAAATGATATAAAGTTGTGTACTTTAAAATAAAAAAATATTTTTTTTCCAAAATTAAAAGATATTTAATAATAACCAATTTTATCATGTTAAAATTGATTATCATACTATGAAAAATATATTAAGTTAAGAAGTCTTATGATTTATATAATTTTAAAAAAATGAATTTTAATATATTGTATAGTACTGAGTTGAGTTAGGCCCCACATGAAACAAGTGTTATAAAAATTGACCCGACCAATAAATTAGTCCCCATCCGGTCTGGTTTAGGTATTGGACCAGTTAAGCATTTGATCCGGTATAAAATTGGTGAACTTGTTCTGAATCGGGTTCATCTGGTATTAAATCGGCTTTGATTTTTTAAAAAATCGATTTTGTGAAATTTTGAATAAAATGCATGAAAAATATCACTAATGATATTTCAACCTAGACTATGTGAATTATAACTTATAACGGTTACTACTAAACCGACTCTAATAATTAGTTAAGATGCTTCTAATTTTATATTTATTATATTTTATTATATATATTTAATTTAATTTAATTTTTTTTTTGTAATACTTATATATATTTAATTTATGCAGTTGAATCAATGAATCATTGATTGAACCATTGACCAGCATTCCAATCAAGTCGATGACCAATTCGAGTTTGATAACACTACTTAAAACATTGCTGAAAACGACTTGAAAATACACTAAAAATTCATTGAGTCCAATTTTCACTGTGCAGTTCTGAAACTTATTAGCTTCAGTGGATTATAATCTTCTGCACTTAAAAAATAAAATAAAAAATACACAGGGTGCAGTTCTTGACTTAAATTATAATGTTTATTAATATTTTGCATTACACCGTTTTTTTCCGGCTAAGATCTTTTCAAAAACTTGTAGAGAATCCATTTCGCAAGTCAATATCATAATTCATAGCTACAGATCTATAACCCACGTTACGTGCTTGGTCTTTATATGCCCCCATCTTACTTATGTGAGTCTCGGTCTATAAATTTTAACGAAGTTTAGTTTAAAGAAGTATATAAAATAACTCATTAGTCCAAACCAATTGGCCCGGACTTAATCACACATGGTTGAAGGTAAATGACGTTGATGAAGAGAAGGAGAGATAGATGTATTGATGTCGAAATGTGAGATGCTTGGCGAGATGATGAATTGAGTTGTGGGATGGTTGAGCAGCACTTTTGCTTATCTGGGCGGTTCGAGAGCGACTGGCGGTACCTGCAAAGGCAATTCGATACTCAAATCAGTTTAATATCTATGAAGGTTCAAGTATTCAAAGAGAGATATCATACCTGGGTCAATGGCCTCTGTATTTATAGTGTTTGAGCGCCATGTTTATCATCGTTTTTTATAAGATGGTGTTCACGTTTATTGATGGAGAGGGGTAGCCTCTCTCAGACTATTCCTTAATGGGCAAGCCTATGTTTAATAGTAGACTCAATAGGTATGGTGGCAAGATGGAGCTGCCATCCATCTACTGGTTCCTGGTGGAGGCCAACTTGCCTGAGCTACTTATCCCAGCAATGATGATTCCTTACAAGTTAAGTTACGTTGGGTTGATGACTAAGTATATAATGAGATCCATGCTTCCTTTGTAGGATGGCATGCCTTTGTGGTTATGTCGTAAGGGTCCCCTGGGCCTTTTGCAATTGGGCTTCTATCTTGCATGTAGTAAGTCTAGATCAATAAAAAAAACAAAACTTATACTTCCTTTTTGTTAAATAATTATAATTCAAATATTGTTATAAACAATTTAACTGTTGGCTGTCCAAACCGTTATATAACTGTTATGACCGTTGGAGACGTTATGATCATTGGAGACGTTATGATTGTTGTAGACATTATGACTGTTAGAGAAGTAATTGTAGTTATTATGTCTTTCATGTTTTTTGAGCCTATAAATAAGGCATGTGTAGAAAATCAGAATTCAAACATAATATGCATCTGATCTTAAGGGATTGGAAGCTAATACCAAATTTAAAAAACATTTGGAGAAGGAAAGACTGTATGATTTCCTTGCCGGACTCAACCGAGATCTTGATGAGGTTCGTGGTCGAATATTGGGGCAGCGACCGTTACCTTCACTTGCTGACGCCTTTGCTGAAGTTCGTCGAGAAGCCAGTAGACGGAGAGTTATGCTGGGAGAAAAGGAGTCGCTTGATAAGTTTGATGATATGTCTGCATTAGCTGCCAACCGTACCATTGACCGTTCCTCCGGAGTATCAAAACGGGATGGTCGTCCATGGTGCACCCACTGCAATAAAATTGGTCATACCCGTGAGAAATGTTGGGAAATCCACGGAAAACCTGCAAATTGGAAGCCCAAAGGACAAAATAAAGGTCGTGCATATCAGGTCTCTACTGATGACAAGGTTGATGAGCCTCATGCATCCTCTGACTCTGATGGTGTCTTTCTTAGCAAGACTCAGTTTGAACAACTTCAGAGACTTTTGACTCAACCTCCTAAGGCCACTAGTCATGTGGTCCAGCAAGGTACAGCTTTCCATGTTGATAGTCAAAATCATTGGATCCTTGATTCTGGAGCCTCTGATCATATGACAGGTAATCTTGGCTTGTTTTATTCATACACTCCATATTCTGAACCTTCTCGGGTCAAGATCGCCGATGGCAGTTTTTCCCAGATTGCGGGACACGGAACCATTAAACTTTCTGAGATGATTACTTTGACATCAGTTCTTTATGTTCCTTCTCTGACTTGTAATCTCATTTCCATTAGCAAGCTCACTTCTGAGTTGCATTGCTTTGCTAAATTCTTTCCACATGGTTGTGTTTTTCAGGAACAGGACTCGGAGAGGATGATTGGCAGTGCTAGAGAGGATGATGGACTTTACTACTTTGAGGAAGATGTGACTCATGAAGCTGTTTTCGTAGAAAAAAAAAACTCTATGTTTCCTTTTGATTCATGTAATGATGTTATGCTGTGGCATCGTAGGCTAGGCCATCCAAATTTTATTTATCTTCAGAAGTTGTTGCCAAACTTATTTATTAATAAAAGTCCAAGTTTGTTTTCTTGCGATATTTGTCAATTTGCCAAGCATACTCGTGCTCATTATCCTTTTAAAGTTCACCATGACTCTTC